ATTGCTTTAAAACGTTCATGATTAGTGTTCTTTAAATAAAGAGCCACTGAACTGCAAGGGAGGGGGCAGGTGGCAAGTCTCACCAAGTCAGTGAGCTGAAACAGTGTATACAACCTAAAAAAATGAGGAAAGCAGGTGGTGCGGAGGCTCACAGCAGGAATCCTAGTGCTTTGGGAGGGGGTGGAGGGAGGATCTCTTAAGGCTAGGAATTGGACAATGCAGTGAGCTGTGATGACGCCCCTGCACTCCTGCCTAGGTGACAGGTTGTTTCCTTGTGTTTCTGGGTGATAAACAGAAGCTTTTCTCCTCCCTAGATCCCAAACTTAGGATAGATATTTGCTTTTTTAATTTAGCCTCACCAAAAGTCCTATTAGGGAAGGACTAGAGAGGTGGGTGCCAAGCCAAGAGGCCTTCCTGACCCCTGTCCCACGCAGCTCCCGCGTGATCAGGTGGCTCTGTGGGTGTGTGCACTCACTGGGCAGCAGCCTGTCGTGCTTCTCAGGTGAGTGAAGAATGGTGCAGGCCATGGCGCCAACCACTACCTAACTTCCTAACTTCCTTTTTAAAAGTAGCAGGTGTGGAAGAGCAGCTGAGCTATCTGCTTGGTGAGGGGCTCAGGGGAGCTTAGGATTCGCTGTTAGGAAAAAAAGAACAGCTACAGGCTGTGTCTGTGGAGATCTGTCATCTTTGTGTCCTCTTGTCCCTTCCTGCTGGGGCTTGCAGGCTGAGGTGGGTGACAGAGCTGGGGACAGGGTCACAAATATGCTCAGGCCTGTGGTCTAGAGAGGGATAAGCATACAGACTTGTGAAATGCTTCTGCAGCCCTGCAGGGCTGGTTAAACAATGATGTCCCCAAATAATTCCTGCTGCACCCACGGGCGCCCACCTCAGCCAGCTGGGCCTCTACACTGACCACTGGACATTTTCCCCCAAACTGAGCTCCCCTGGTCACCAGCCAAATAGCCCCAGGCCATGCTGAGCTGCAGGCATGGCTGGTGGTCTCAGCATGCAGGGTCCTGAGCCAGACAGAGAAACTGCTCGGAGCGCATCTGCTGGGCTTAGGGCGAATTCAAGGCAGCACTGACAAGGAGCGAGCAGGCAGGCAGGCAGGTGTCCTGCAGGGGTCCCAGCTCCCCTTCCTCAGGAGGGCTCAGCACTACACACACTCGGCTATCTACACCTCCAGACAAAGTGCTGAGAGGACATGATGGGGCCCTGAGTTCTGCCAAGTCACAGTCTATAAACCTGCCAGTGCGTAACAGAGGTCAGCTGGGATCTCCACAGAGGGCAAATAGTTTGGATTTTTAAAAATGATTTGCTTTTTGATTCTTCAGTGATGTCAGCGAGGGGGCCCCTGGGCCATGGCGGGTCCCAGAACAAAAGCTGCCCACAGCAGGGTCCACTGGGAGCTGGAAACACAGTCCCGGGTCCACCAGTGCCGCTGCCAGAACCTGCAGGGTAACAAGCCCCGGTGACGTGTTGTGTATTGTCTGAGCACCCCTGTGACCGAGCAGCTGGCAGTGGCACTGGGGGAGGCCAGGGCTCGGGCCTGAGTGGTAGCTCTTGCTGTGCCTCCTCTCAGCAGAGCACCACGTACCCACAAGATGGAAACTGTCAGAGCACCGGCAGTAACACGGCGAACTCTTCCAAAGGGCCAGTTGACTCTGGACCTGACTCAGGGGTCTCAGCCACTGACAGTAGAAAACCTGAGGACAATGGAACGACAGGTGTGGGGCACCACAACAACTCAGCGCCTTTCTCAGGTGACTCCAAGGGCTCCTACAGCTGCTCATGAGGATGGATTCTTACTAACCCGTGTCCCAGGTAACAGAGGCCCCAGCCAGCGCAGTACAGCAGGGCCTGTGTACTCCAACCTGGGGCAGCACCTGGTGCCCCTGTTATCACATCCTTATGTCAATCTTGTGAGAGAGACATCTCCACTTAGTACAATGAGGAAACTGAGGTATAGAGATGTCAGGTGACTTTCTCAGGAGTGGAGACTTGTAATGAAATCCAAGTCTGATGCTGAGCCCGTCTGGACTGCCAGGCTACCATGTCATGTGGGGCCATGCAGGGAAAAAGAAAGCAGAAAGCTTTGGCTGCCCCAGGTGCATCTTGCTGTTTAATCTGATTGAAAAATAATCAAAGGAAGACTAGGCACAGTGGCTCACGCCTGTACTCCTAGCACTCTGGGAGGCCGAGGCAGGTGGATTGCCTGAGCTCAGGAGTTGGAAACCAGTCTGAGCTACAGCGAGACCCCGTCTCTAAAAATAGCTGGATGTTGGGGCAGGTGCCTATAGTCCCAGCTACCAAGGAGTCTGAGGGAAGAGAATCACTTGAGCTCAAGAGTTTGAGGTTGCTGTGAGCTGTGAAGCCACAGTGGCACTCTACCCAGGACAACAGTGAGACTCTGTCTCAAAAAAAAAAAAAAAAAAAAAAGAAAAGAAAAGAAAAGAAAAATGGCCAAAGGATTTTTCACCTCCCTTTGTTGGGCTCCAGGGCACCTGGGCGCTGCACAGCCACGGAGTGCAGGCTCCAAGGAGACAGGCCACCCAATGGCAGGGCAGATCTGAGGGCCAAGGACTGTCCTTTTTTGACTTCCATCTCACTACTTGGCAAGCCCAGAAACTGGAGAGATTAAATTCCATCTTACAAGTAATTATGTGTCACTTTTCCATTTCTCTTCAGGATTATTAGAGGGGCTGTGTCACACATAGGCCAACACCACAGGGCATTTACGATGTGCTTCCAGGTGGCTTGGTGGGAACCACTGGGCACTCCATGGGGCAGATAACTTGTCTCACTCAGGCAGTGACATTCTAGGCCAGGGCCCATAGCTCAGCAATTCTCAAACCCATAAAATGCTGATTGGGGCAGGGGCCAGCAGCGTGACCTGACACCCCCCACCCAGGGCAGGTGAAGGAGAATCACTGCGCTGCAACACTCAGCTCCCCACCACCACCGTGCACGAAGCTGCCTCACATCCCAGTGGGGGTCAGGGACAGCTTGTTTTCACATGTCTTTAATATTGCCCCCTCCCCCCATTTGTGACTGTAAGGCTAGACAAGCAATCGAACTGCACAGATGCCTTGGCATGGGTTCCATCAGGGCTCTGGCACCCTGGCTCATCTTCTGTTGAGGTGGCCTGGTGCCAAGTCAGGGGTCCCCCCGTGTCTCTTCCACATGCATCTGCAGCACCTGTGGCCAGGCACCCTTAGCAAGTCTCCATGAAAGCAGCTGTAGAGACCACCACTCACTACGCTGAATTCAGGGTGTTCACTTCCCTTGGCGAGGACCCAGGTAAATCAAATAAAAACAGGTGGCAGAAGAAGGTGCTCCCAGTCATAACCACGGCCTAGGGAGGGCAGGGCCCACTGGATCTGGGTAGCCAGTAACCCCAGGGCCTGGAGACCTGAGGTTTCCCTGAGTCCCTAGCTTTCCTGGGCTGGGGCTGCTGATGACAGTCCAGTGTCTCTGTGACTCCATGGGGACTGTGGTCACAGCCAGCCTTCCAGAGGCAACATCTTGGGTAAAACAGTCTCTGGATTGATGCCAGGTGGTGGTCACCTATATCCCAGCTACTTGGGAGGCTGAAGCAGGAGGATTGCTTGAGCCCAGGAGTTGGAGACCAAAAATACCCCCTAAAATCTCTGGATTCAGACCAGCACAGGAGAGGTGCAGGCTGTGAGGTGGGCTTCATTCTCTTTCTGCTGTTCATACAGAGGTCTTGGCTCAGGCAGTTCCACCCACCCTGTCGCACCACAAGGCTGAGCTGGTGGCATGTCCCATTTCCCAGATAGGCAAACAGAGGCCTGGGGACTTACTCAAGGGGGCTCTGCTATCTCCCTGGGGCCTCAGTGGGAGCTGTTTTTCCAGGAGCAATTAAGGGCTGGGTGGAGAGGGATGGGCTAATTTGTAAAATCTTCAGCATTCAGGGGACTTGGCTTGCCTTCTGAAGCTGAGGGACATTGCTGGATTGAGAGACACCCCTGTCCCCATGTGACAGCTTTCAAACACAGGGGCCCTTGGCAGGGGTGTGGAGTGGGTGGGAAGGGTTGGAGGGTGGAGGGTGGGGGATGGGGGTGGTGGTGGTGGTATGTAACTCTTTTCTAAGTTTCTATAGGCAAGGAGCCTTTTCTAAAAATGTGAAGCATCTGCCTTCTTCTAAGCCTAAGCCTTCACCCCAGAACAATCTGGCACTGACTCCTGTGGGGGAAAGGGAGGAGGGCAGCTGACTTCACCATAGGACAGGCTGGAGCCCACAGGCTGCTTCTAACAGTGAATTAGTTAGCATCTGGATGAGGTCCCTAAGCCACTTGCCAGAAGGTTTTGCAGGGGGAGGGAGCAGCTCCTCCCTGTATATCTGTTTTAAGGTGTGGGCCCTTATTCTGTTCTCCCCTACAAGATCCTCCTGGAGACCACAAACCCAAGAGACTTGGTAGGGCAGTGTCCCTCTGAAGCAGAGGTACCCAGCTGTCCTCACAGCTGCCCACCTAAGTCACATGAAGGAGACTAGGAAAGAAACAGCCCAAGGCAGGATTGCAAACTTAAGGCTGTTCACAGTGCTTCGTGGAATCTCATTAGTTGTGATGCTTCTGCCTTTCCCTCAGCCTCAAAACTCTCTAGCACTTTGCAGTTCCCCAGACTTACAGTCGTCTGGCACCTTGCAAGACACCCGTGCCTCTGTGATTTCACTGGGTTTTACAATGACCGCATGGAATGGAGAGGTCAGATTTGAGCGCCCCTAGTTAAACAGAGGCTCATAGGGGTGGCTGACCAGCCCCAGCACTCGGCCTCTGGCTAGAAGCTCAGCCAACGCAAAGCTGTCCCTGCACAGACTTGCTGCCTGACCTGATAGGCCATGGCTATTTCCACATTTGCCTTCACTGAAAAAGCAACCTTGTCCCCAGATGTTAGGACTGGCCCCTATCTGCCACCTCTGCAGTGACGGATGGCAATGTTGAACAAATGCCGTTCCGACAGAAGGATGGAGCACTCACATTCCTTGGTGTTGGGGGGTGCCAGGAGGCAGGAGTAGCAGACCATGCCGTAGATGTTCCTGGGCCTGTGCTCCAGCATGTAGTAGCTGCAGGGACAAGACAGGGCAGATGGTGAGCTGAGGTCCGTGCAAGGGCTGACCCACACATAGTAGCTGCAGGAGGACAGGACACGGTAGAGCCAGGTGAGCCAAGCTCCAAGCAAGGGCTGTGAACCAGGCTCCATGCAAGGACTGACCCCCGTGAGGTAGCTGCAAGGGGACAGGACGTGGAAGAGACAGGTGAGCTGGGTTCCATGCAAGGGCTGACCTAGAGAGCTCTGGGAGCAAGGCCATGATCAAAGTTGGATAAGAGATAGACACCATTGATCAGGAACCCTGCCCAGCCAGCAGCCCATTTTGTCCACCGAGTTTCCTTTGCGATTTTCAGTATGTCTTAAAATGAAATATTCCTTTTCCAATGTTGGGTCAGTTTGGGCTTTTCCTTTATCCCCTCCCTGCTGGTCCCTTTTGCCAGTGGACTATTTAGTGTGTGTGCGCTGATGTGTCCCAGCAACATCACCCATGAAATACTGCATGCCTACCATGCAGAGTTAGTTTAGCTCTCCAGGGGTCTCACCAATCAAGGGCTGGGCCCTCCTTAAAGAAGGAACAGCCTCTTGATGAGTGGGATGTTCAGTAGCCTGGTGGGACTATTGGCAAAAGTGTTTCTGTGTCTCCCTGGGACACTTGGTACTTCCAGGCCACCTGGATGGTTGCTAAATGCTGATGAATGGAGCTGTCCACCAGAATGTGGTTGCAATGTCCAGAGAGACCCACACAGGTGGTCTTAACCATGGCCTACAGTACAGCCAGGTCCTAACTGCTCCGTCCCCAGGAAGCACTTGGCAAAAGACACCTGTATACCTGCAGACATTTCCACTGGGGGTGTGAACGCTTAAAGGAAGAGACAAACCATCCACAGTGACACTATATAACGGGCTCAGTGACTGCTCACAGGTGTCTGTCATGTGCCCTGGAGCTGCCCACCTCTTGGGCACAGCTCAGCTAATAGTATCGGGTTCTGGAGCTTACGGCTCAGGCTCCCTCCCCACCAGCTCTGCCTCTTACCTTGATGTGTGACTGTTTTCTATAAGCAAACAGTAGTGGGCATGGAGTCATTTATCACAATGTGAGAAGTTGATTAAATAAAGGGAGTGGGTGCCAGTGCTTGTTACTATTCAAAAGACGAGAAATCCCTCTCCACTACTGGATTTTTCTGTGCTTGTTCTTTAATCTCTTTTTTATTAACTATGTACCACAAAGGCCCCCACTTATGGCAGAGGTCAGCGGCTGCTGGCATGGAAAGCTGGGCAGGGCTCTTTGGACTCCAGCCTTCATGAGCTGGGACTATCACCAGTAACATTAGGATCATCCCGTCCTCAAAGCCTTTTATCCCCGGATCCCTGTGTATCTCATAAACGTTAATTAACCAATCTCAAAACAGCATTCAGAGAAGCCACATAGCCAGCTTTACAGTTAAGCCTTCTGGAAAAAGCCTCCCTCAAACATGCCTCTGCCCCTTCCTGAAGGCATCTCTCTGTTGGGGGAACAGGGCAGACGGCAGGTGTCTCCACACGGCCTCACAAGGTTACAGAGGGAGGTGCCCGCTTGTGGCTTTCTGATATCCAGGGCCAACGTTTCCATCTCAGGCTAGAAGGCTGCTGCATCCTCCTCCTCCTCCTCCTCCCTTAATCACATTCTGGCTCTGCCTAGGTGACCAGCTCTGTCCCTGGACTTGGGGCCCTTGAGGGGAAGCCTGGATCACATCTGTATTCCTAGCAGTTCCTCCTAGGTACTGAGGAAGGAAGATTCCCTGCAGACCCTGGTTGGACATGAGCGCACACTCTCATAGATAACTCAGCTGGTGGAGTGGAGGACTGTAGACTGGACACAGTGAATAAGTTCTTCACTGAAGTTTGAGGTGCTGAGATGGTCAGAGGCCCTGAGAACATCACTGCCATCCTGGTTAGCACCCTGGGTGGGTGGACTTGGCTTCATCATAGATGACACTTCAAAGCCATGCCAATGGTGGAACACCTGGGCTTTTGAATGGATGCCTGCTGGGGTACCACACTCTGAGCACCAAGGAGGTGGTGGCTGTGTCCTGGGTCTCTGTCTGTGGTCTTTCCTCAATACCCAAATGTCTTCTGCCACAGGCCACTCCAGGCATCCATGAGGGTCTCTTTCTAACTCCCTAGAGACCTGGGTGGCTGCAGCTCCATGCTTCTGCCTTAACTGTGTCTATGGGCCATGCCATGCCAGGTACCAAGAGGCATGGTGGAGGAATAATACGGAAAGGTGCTTTTCAAAATATGTTGGCTCCAAGAGGCTGTTATGAGTTTACCCTCCCTACCAGCGTGAATGTTTAGCGTCTCCCAGCAAGGACAGGCCCCTTTGCCTGGCATGTTCTGCTGCAAGGAACAGTTTTAAATGCTAGGGTGCTTCTCTCTCGGCCTCCCCGAGCTCCTCATGGTGGGGTGTATGCCTGTGTCACCTGTGCTGAGCTGCATAGGTTGCACCTTCTGTGCAACACCCTTGACTAACCGGAAGCTGGGAGTCCACACACTGGTCTGCTGCCCCCGCACAGAGTTACGCCCCTTCCTCTTTCCTTTTGTTCCTTCCCATCCATCTTTCTGTAAAGGTCTAATTTCCTCCTCTTTGATCCATAGTTTGAGTGTTCACTAGATCTTTCTTTTCTTCTCCCCATTTTTTGTGGGTTAAACTACACAGCCCAATGATTGACAAGAGTTAGTTTGAGGCATTGAGGATTTTCCACTCAGGGATTGATTTCCTCCAACTCAATGAACAGGTGTGAATTTCCCAGAGATTTCCTTTCCTCAGGACTGCTAAGTCTGTGACGGGCGCTGCTGGATCCTCAGACGCTTACTTTTCTGCTGGCACGTGGATCTTCCTTCACCCCTGCCCAGGCCACCTGGCATGCGCGTGGAGGGTCTTCTTCAGGGACCGACTGAGGAAATCTGTCCTCTACTCTCTTCCTGTCACCGGTTCCTCTTCCAGGGGCCTCCCACACAACCTTTCTGCACAGCAAGTTGCAGGGTGCTGGAAAGATCCTTCCCAGCCCTGGAATCTGAGTGGCATTTGGTTTCCTTCCAGCTGCGCATCAGGGGAACCCCAGCCAGACCGCGGGGATGAGCTGGGGTGGGCGGGATGGAGGAGTCTGCATCCACCTCCTGAAAACCACGAGGATGCAGGAACGAACACAGCCTTTCATCCAGCTAACCTCGCCAGCTTGCCTAGACTCCTGTCACCCTCCTGTCACACAGCGTTGAGAGCCTCATTTTGTTCTTCAAACCTAGAACATGGAACAGGAAGCGGGTGCCTGCAGGGACCCACCTGGCAAAGCCGGAGGTGAGGCAGGGGGCCGGACATGTTGTGGCCTTGGCGGAATCAAAATGGAAACTACTCACACTACTTTCTCACTGTTGAACGACAGGAGGCTCTGGGACATGTGTTGAGATATGCCCCCCTGCTCCCCCTGTGCTTTGGGGTGACTCCAGGCCCCCTGAACCCCGGGTGCTGAAAGTGGTGTGGACTGAGCAGACTGCAGCTCCCAGGCAGGAGGCCGAGAGCTACTTGGATTCCAGGGCTGGGAAGAACCTTCCAGCAGCAGGACAGCCAGCAGCCTTCATCCCTTCATAACTGTTGACTCCGTCTGCCGTTCCGGTGTCAAACTTCCTTAGCATTAGGATACTTTCTGGTACATCTATCAGGACAAAGCACACTGTCTTTCTTGCCACAGCATCAGCCTTTCTTGTGACCATGCAGCCCCTGCCCAGGGGACAGAGTTTTCACTGCACCAGCCAAACTTGTCCTTCTGACTGGCCCTATGTAAAAACAGAAGAGGCCCTTCCATGCACATACTCACTGCCCCTCTCAGATCATCTGGGACAAAATCATGACTGAATTTCACAGACTATTGAGGGATGCATTCTGGGGTCTGAACTGTGGCCAGTTCACAGCCAGCAGTGCTGCGTGGTGGGCTCTGTGGTGTGGTCATCTCTTCCTCACTCCATAAGCTGCCATGTGGAGCCTTTTGGACTAGGGGCTCTGGGTTTTGTGAGTGTGCAGGTGACTTCCAAGTCCTGGCCTTTGGCCTGTGTCTCACCCAGAGCTGCATGCCTCTTTATCCATCTCTACGTTTAATACCTTGGTCTTGGTGTCCCATATCAGCAAATGGCACCACATCCATGCAGGGAATGGCTGAGAGTCCCGTTCTGAGCCTCTGTCCCTACCCTGAGATGCCAGGTTGTAGCTCCAGCCAGTCCACCTGCCCTGGTGCTCTCAGGCTCTTCCTCTCCTCCACCCCCAATGCCACTGCTCCAGGCCTCCTCCCATCCCACAGAAACCCCAGCCTCAGCCTTCAGCGTCTTTCCTACTCATCTGCTGCCTTCACTGCTGCCAAGGGGACTGTCCTAACACATAGCCTGTCATGTACTACCCAGTCTGGTAGTCTGTGTGGGCACCGCCTGGGTTTCAAGCTGAAGGTTCAGTATTCAGCAATGGCTTCCAGAGCCCTGTCCATTGCCCCCTACCCAGCTCTCTGGCTGGTCCATACACACCTTCCACTCCAGCCACAGAGACCCAATCAGGGCTCCAGGTGCCATCCAGCTGCTCAGTCCTCTGGGTTCTGGTGTCAGCTCCTCTTCTCAGAGAGCTCTGTCCTATCTTTAGCCTGGCCACTTCCCACCCATCCCAGTGTCACCTTCAGAGGCCTTCTAAGACCCCTGATGACTCCATCTCCTCAATCATGAGGCAAGAAGGCCTTCCTTACTTCTAGAATGAGGGGTGTGCCTCACTGCCTGTGCTGTGGCCACTGATTTCCTCATCTCACGCCTCTACCTATAAGGGAGGAACCATGCCCCTCCTCCTTGTCTCACTAGCACCTGCCTGGCAGGCTCTTGATTCCTGGGGCTTAGGATAATAAATACTGGACCTGTTACAATAAGTTGCAAATGTCCGGTCAAGTGCTCACACCCAGAGGCTCTTAAAATAGGTTTTGTATAGAGGTTCTTTAGTTCCAAGTAAGTGTGGCAAGGTCTGCATACTTTTCTAGATTTAATCCATGGAAGCTCCAAATTACTTTTATGAATCATGCATGAATAAAATCCAAAAAAATCAATCAATCACTCAGATAAAGTTTTAGGAAGCACAGAAGTCATCAGAGACTGACCTAGCCATCTACTGTGAAGATCCCACTGAACTTCATTCAGAGTCCTGCACGGTGTCTGTGTAGAGCAGCCCAGCAGCAGGTGCTAGTGCAGTGGGCGCAGGCTGTGGTGCTCTTTTAGGTGGAGCCCCCCCAACACAAGAGTGCATGGCTGAATTAAAGATGACCCAGCTATGGAGTTTTCTATCTTCCCTGGTACAGTTATCTGCTTTTTTTTCATGTTGAAAATGTAGTTTCTAGATTCTCCTGCTTCATATACTTATTTGAGAAGCATGTTTGAATCCCAGTTTGTGTCAGGAAAGTTGGTGTGGGCTTGTCCAGAAGATATCTGGACATGTGGTCTGAAGCTCAGGAAGTAGGAAAAGTAGGGAACCTGGGGGTGGAAGATAGTCACCTGCACAGATGGTGGTAGAAACCATGGAAATGGAGCTTCTTAGTAACAAATTGGAACGGAGGTTATTTTCAGCAAGTTTAAAATATCTCCTCATTTTGAAGAGTTATTCATATTATATCTATTTCTTTTCTTTCTTTCTTTCTTTCTTTCTTTTTTTTTTTTTGAGACAGAGTCTCACTCCATTGCCCCAGACTAGAGTGCCATGGCATCAGCCTAGCTCACAGCAACCTCAAGCCCCTGGGTTCAAGTGATCTTCCTGCTTCAGCCTGCCAAGTAGCTGGGACTACAGGTGCCCACCACAATGTGCAGCTAAATTTTCTATTTTTAGTAGAGATGGGGTCTTGCTCTTGCTCAGGCTGGTCTTGAACTTCTGAGCTCAAGGGATCCTCCCAGCTCTGCCTCCCAGAGTGCCAAGATTACATGTGTGAGCCACAATGCCCAGCATTATCTATTTCTAAATTAGTTAGTATTTCTGACCTTTTTGGAACCTTCTTCTAACACATTAATGCTCAATGTTATCTTTCAGACATGTTGTTATTTTCTTCCTCTTCTTAATTTAATATAGTTATCCAGAAGACAAAGTGTGCATAAGCACACTGTGAAGTGGTGCATGCAATTTAAAACATCACTGCCACTGTGACCACTGCCATCACCTCCGCCTCCTGCATGTTCGTCATCACTGCCATCACCTCCACCACCCACACCTGTAGCATCTCTGCCATCACCTCCACCACCTGCATCTTCAGCATCTCTGCCATCGCCCCCACCACCTGCATCTTCAGCATCTCTGCCATCACCCCCACCACCTGCA